GTACCGTAAAAATCTCGCACCGGGCGTTATGCATCTTCATACACTGTTTACTCAACAGCGCGAATACATGCGTGTCAATTCTATTTCCTATTATATTAAAGCTAAGTTCTCTTTCTCAGATTGCTAATTGGACGTAATTTTAGTAGTTTTCTTTGAGACAATATAGTTTTAATTAATGTAGTGCCACCGCCTGTCGAGTTTACTTCATACCAATAAATTGTGGTGGCAGACAGTGGAAATAAACGTAAGAATATGAATAAAGTGATATCAGTGTGCTGCTCTGCACGTTGTATACAAGGAATTTGAGGCTGGAATATATTTAATCATGCCATCAAATACGTAATGTTGCACATGGCCATTTTTATTAGCATCTCGTTATACAAGCACTGCGTCGATACAATATTTATAGCAATAAAATGAACCTTGTGTACCTATTTACATTTGCTCTATTTACAGTTGAATTTTAAACAGATTATTTATTCTCAATCTTACTACTTAATATTATAAATGCGAAAGTTTTGATAGATGGATGATGATTGTTAGAGTTAGTTAGCTTGAGTTAGCTTAAACGGCTTAACGGATTGCGATGAAATTTGTTAGATGTAGAGGATAGTTTGGAAGAACAAATGCTTCTCACTCTTGTTTTTTTTAATTCCACGCGGACGGAGTCGCGTTTGAAGGCTAGTTTAAAATAAGCTGTAACCTTTTAAGTCACCAGTTATAATAGGGTAGACAGAAAAGAAAAAGCCAGTTATTTTCTTTTAAACTTTATATATGAGACGCAAAATTAACCTATTACAGTATAAATAACATCGTTTTTCGGGAAATATACCTACAGGATTTTCATTAACTTCAACATTTTATTAAATTTATTGACTGCGAAACAGAAAATAAAATTCATTGATATCTCGTAACATTCGTAACTCTACATTGTTGTAACAATAACGATAGCGAACCGTCTTGCAAGGTCCATTTCAACCATTTTGTTCAATCACGCCAATGAATGTGACTCTGAGAGGGCAATCAATTTCAATCTGCGTGAAGTATGCACACTGTGCGGCGTGGCCGAGCGATTTGCACACTTTGTGCTAATCAGCACTAAATATTGTGTTTGCCATCGCTCTAGTGTCAAATAACAGTTGACACCCTGCACTCATGGTTGCCAGATACATTTAATTTTGTTATAAAAAATTGTGTTTTAACTCTTGTGACTGTGTGTGTGTCTAACTGATGTGTTTGGTTTATTAAAAAATGACTACATACGGAAGGTGGACCCTTTATGATGGCGGAATGGAAAGAGTTCAGGTCAGTGTTTCATTGTTAATTAATATTTAAAATTAGGCAGTTTGTCATTAGGTCATTTACCTAAGAGAGGCTAGAACTTATCCTTAATTAAGGGTAAATTCAGCAGTAAAATACACGATTACTTATTGCAACTATTACAGTTAAAGATATAAGCTTCGATTTTGTGTTACAATGTTGTTATTTCGTTTAAAAAATGCCAGTAAACTTTGTTTTTATTAACCTTGTTATCGTCATTAAAATTGATCTTATATACACTTGTTAAAATTAGTTCGATAAAGAAAGTTCGCGAACACGACAAATACGGAGGTAGTGATTTGCGAATAACATCGTCATCAGTGGAACGAATTTGTTGTTAATCGTTGCGTGTTTAGAAAGTATTTTTTAATGCGTGTCTAAAGGAGTCATTTAATTTCAACACAAAAGTGAGTGGCCTCCAATATAAAAATATTGATCACTAACTGTTACTTAGTAAGACGTCTATGCGTCCTTTTAGACTATGTGGTGACATCTGTGCCAATTTTTATCAAAATCCGTTAAGCCATTCCGGTTTATAACAACCATCCTTTCATCTTTACCTTCCAATTTAGTATATTAGTAAGAAGTAATATATAATATGAAACACTGTAGGTACAGGCCTATGACCTGAGAACCCCACCAACTATAGCATATTCAAATCTTAATCGAATATTACCAATTAAGTGTTTGCGACGTTCAAATTGCATTATACTGCAAAATTATTTAATAAATTGTTATGCACTGCCTTCGCAAATTGTATTCTCGTGAGTCGATCATTACCGTCTCTAGAAACAGATTTCTTCATAACTATTGGATTAGTAAACAAATGCGCAAGCTCGTGGATGCATTTGTTGATAAATGGAACATAAGAACCTGTTTCTAAGACTGTGTTTCCGAATCCTTAGCCAGCTGTGGTCGCCCACGTCTAGAGAATACTGAATGGCTAAGCACTGGGTGTGATGACGTAATGTGGAGCAGTGAACGTAGCAGAAAGGAAAAGTGGGCGACTACCGATTAAAGTTCGCAGCCTCGAGTGCGCCCACGCTGGCCCACGGCCTACAGCCATTCCTGCGACACCCTTCCTGCGCTGTCGTAGAAAGGAATAAGTGTTACGTACAAACAATGGGCTTCCTTAATTTAAGACCTTTGTTAAATTTGTTAGTAGTAAGAGATTTTTAGTTGTTGATTTGATGTTGACTTCTGGTTTTATTGTCTTTTATTTTCAAACAAATAAAAAATTTAAACAAAAAATATCTGTACACGTTGTCTTAAACTTAAAAGTTGTTTTAAAACCGCAACTTTTTTATTTGCTTTTCATTGATGTCTTTCGTATTTATTGGGTCTGAAAGTCCATTAACCTAAGTGGCAGGATGCGCAGGGCGGATCGTGGTGCAGCCAATGTTAATTGGTGCTAGCGTTTCGAAACAACGCGTCTATTGTCGACAGTCTCATAATATTTGCTCAGGTGTGTATTGTGCGAGGCGATGCCTCCAAATGAATGAGCCACGGGTACGGGTGGTGTGGTGTGTGCGGTGCGCATGTGTACTCGCGTTCGATAACCGCACAGGCACTAGGCACTACGGCCGTGGGTCGCGCACGAGGCACGTGGAGGCGAAGGAGGCTGAAGGCGCGACGCCACCGACCCCGTGCCGCCGTCGCCTGCCATCGCCGATCGTAGCCGACGCGCGGGGTGAACACCGTACGCGGCGATGCGCGCGGCGCGTCAGTCGCACACACGCGCCGACCCGAGCGGCCGCCCTTTCTGTCGCACTCGCGCCTAATTTTGACACGACCTTACGGATTTGTTTTCATATTTACAATCAGTGGTAAATCGATATTGAATGAAAAATATTCGGTGGTGTGTGTTTCGAGCTATTTTTAAACGTGACGGTGAATTTTCGAAGCGAGTTTCCTGTGATCGGTATTTCGGAAAATAATTTTCCTCGGAGGACGGCGTCTTTGGGCGCTGCGCGACGGCGGAGTAGCGGCGGTGGCGGGTCGGTGGATGGTGCGGGGCGGCCGAGGGCGCGGGCGGGCGCCGGGGCGCGGCCGGCGGCGCCGCTAGCAAAATGTCGATACCCTTGGGCCGGGACACCGCGCTACCCACGCAGGTGAGCCTACGCTTTTCTCGCTTTTCCGGGTGCAGCGAGTGCCGTACGTAGCGCCCTGTGACGTATGCGCTCACCAATAACAAGTGACGGCCGCTTGCAGCGATAGCCGTTCGATATCACTGGTTCACTGGTTTGTGTTGTTACTTTACTTGTAGGTAGTTTTGTTATCGTAGAGTTGGAATGTAGCCTTAGCAAAATGTGTAGGCATTTCCTGTTGACTATTGATTTGTACGATCCAAAAATGTCTAATGTCAATTAAGTCGATGTTTAATAGATGATCTTATAATTCAAGAACTAAAGACAGCCTTTTTCAAGCAGGAAGGTAGATACAAAAAGATTTTTCTTTAATTCGTCATCAAGTTAACAGAACTGACTCATGCTGATGTGATTTAGGTCATTTTTTTGTCGATTAGATTCGTCAATGAACTAGGTAGTAAACTGAATACTTATTCAAAGTTTGTAAAATTTAGGACGAGTTGTACTCGTACGTTAATTTTTGGTAGTTTATCATTTTGACCGTGACATTATCATATGTAAATAGCGTAGAGATAAGCAGGTGTCGTTATTGTGAACTAATAATTGTTATCAACACTAAGAAATCTTTTGTTTCTTCAATTAAAGTGGAACAATTTTAATGACGCATAACATTAATACTTTAGTTATAGTTTTTAATGAGTAGTTCAGTACTTTTACATGCCCTAAGTATTCCTATGACTTAAGTTGTGATATTTTTTTTAATCGTAAAGTTGTGTAATAAATTTTTAAAATTAAATTATTCACATACTTGACAATCATTTCTAAAAGAATCAAAATCTTTAATGGAAAATTCTAGAATTAGTTATGGATTTTATCAATATTCAAAAGTTTTTTTATAATTGTAATTGTGATATGTTTTAGACGAATTACGCACACAAATACTAAACGATAAGTTTATCAATAAATTGGTAAAACGCAAGTCCATTGACCAATCACGAATCAATATAGACGCTTATCTTGATTCTAGGAATTAAGAATTTATAACATCACGTATTTTTGTTGTATTGTGATGTCATTTTTGTCGGACCGAGAGAAGGATAATGGTTTTGGCGAGAATAGTTTGTATGACATTTAGAACAAAATAGCTTAAACGTGTTTGATCAGTCAAGTTAACTAAATTTTAAATTGTTATTTATTTCTGATATATTTATGTCACATAATTATTACACGCAAACACTACAATTTAAAAATTATTTTAATTTAGCTGTAGGTAAATAAAATGTGTTCAATATTTTAATCGATTCTCTACGTTGATTTAGGAATTACTCAAAAATAATTGCTTGTTATCTTAATATATTTTTTACTTTAATTCACAAGCTAGCAACACTTCAATGACTACATTAATAAAGTAAGAGTAGAGACGGAAGCTTATTAGCAACACTTTCCATGTAATAAATTTAAGTAACAATTAATAAAAATCATAGTTAATTAGAGAGAAAGTTGAAGAAATACAATATTGATAACAAGTTTGACGAATGATTGATGTTAAGGAAGTATAAAGTAACTTTCGTTTCTGTTTGTAAATCGGTCAAGTTCGCGAAATATTTTAACACCTTGATGGATGACCTTAATCTGCTTTACGGTATTGTAGGAAATGATTAATTGCACTTAGGTCCTACAATTAAATATACCGAGATTTTATGTAGGTGAAGCTACCGTTCTATATTAATTGCTGTTTATTGGATTAATAATTTGTTTAAGAAACCTTGATAAATGTATGTTATCTGTAATTGAATTATATACTACTTATCTATACACATACACATTTTTGAACAATTCATCGAAATATCGTTGAAAATTAAAACTGTCGTGATTAAGTTTTAAAATAATACTTTGGTTTCCATAGTTCTCTTTCCATAAAGCTATCAAAGATGAAAGCGAAATAAATACAATTTCAGTTAATTAAAACGAAACAATAAAGCTTGTATTAATTTGCGTGAAATCTAAACTAGGTTTATTTGTACTGGTCGTAATTGGCAGTTGCCTAAAGTTCAAGGGTCTATCGATCCGTCTTGCGTTCTCAAACCAAAGCGCCGATTCATACTACAGATTATTTTTATAAAGACGTTTTTTTTTGTTCTTGCAACACTCATTATTGAATGACATCGTGACTCATTTCAAAATTAGAACTTTTATTATCTGCGAAGAAATATATCGGGTCAAAGGTTAGGTTATCGCTATTTCGTGTTTTAATATTTGAGATACGCTAAATTTCATTGTGATTGTTGATTGAGTAATAAAGATCGTTAAATTTAAAAATTTACATTGATATTTATAATACTACTATCAGTGTTTATTAGGAATTAGCTTTTCCCGTGCGGCTTCATCCGCATGAAATTATGAAAATTTTATTTAATTGTTTACATTTGTCAAATTATCAATAGCAAATGTCAAAATGACATGTCATTACAAACCTTGGCAATCTTGCTTCCTTGATGTTGGCAGCAACTTATAGTCTCTTTCCCATGTAAGGGTTTTTATCCAAAATATTTACCCCCTAAGTTCTATGGCGTGAAAATATATAGCCTAAAGCGTGACGTAAGTGTAGGCTTTTTATTAAAAAAAATAATTATTCAAAAATATGTTTTAATTGCTGACATCTTAGGCAACAAAGAAGTGTGTGTTTACGCTTTATTATTATAGTATATATTTAGATAGTATAGATTACCTATAAAGTAAAAATTTTATTTATTTATTTATTTATTAGCTTTATTTATTCCATACAGAAAATAACTTATAAATGTACAAAATAATATGTATACATTGTGTAGTAAGTATGGACCCCGTTTAGGGTAAAAGCCTCCTCCAAATGCTGACTTTTTATAACAGAACTTTAAAGTAATTTTTTATGACTTTAAAAGAAAAATTTTTACAGCTATAAAAGTGTTTACATTAGAATTGTTGTGTGTTACATTAGAACAATTATAACAACGTTAATGTGGTATTTTTGTTTTGTACCATCTCAAATTGTTTTACAATGTTATAATTTTGCCCAAAAACTGTATTTTGAGTTATAATCAGCTGTTGCTAATAAATGTTGCACAAGTAAATATCTATTAGTACTAATTAGCTTACTATATTTTAATTTATATGTCTATGCTGGAACATATCACAACAAAATGCTTATTTATCTTATAATATATTAACATACTATTGTTATGTTTTTTCAATTACATATAATAATAATAATAATAAATAATAAATTCATTTATTTAACAAAAAGTGGTTACAGAAAATTGACCCAGGGTCCTCGCACTAGGCACAGCCTGTGTCGCGGAGACCCAG